TTCATATTGTCTTAATGAAAAAGACGTCATATAATCTGGAGGATTTACCGGCGTCGAAGCGTTTGACAGACCTCGTATTCTATAACGAGCCAGATGAAAGCTTTCAAAAGCCTCAAAGCTACAATTATTTAGTTTCAGGTTGGTCAAACATTTAGGATTCGAAGAAGCTTTAAATGTCTGTCGACTTGTTTCTGCCCGGGTGACGAGTGACTTGTGCTATTTTAATTAGCCTATGATAGCAACGCTATCGCTAATGCTAACAATGAGTTAACCTCTGTTATTTCTATGTGCTTGTATCTACTTGCAAATGATGAATTTAGCTTCTGTAAACCCAAGTTCAAGTAACTGTCCAATAAAATATCTGAAAATAGGATTTACCATATTTATTCGTGTATAATACGATCTCATGTATAATATGATCTCATGTATAATATGATCTCATGTATAATACGATCTCATGTATAATATGATCTCATGTATAATACGACCCCCCCCTTTTTGATCTTAAAAAGCATAAAAATTTAATCCTCAAACTACCTCCAATTTCATGCAGACAAAGATTTTTCAGCCTTTGCAGTTGTTATACATACTTTTTCAGTAAAATGATCATTGGACTGTTCATTTTATTTTAACAACATATGTACTAAAAGGTATTTTGACAACAAATATATATCAGCTGTAGCAGCATCATATGAATTCTGGCATTTTACACATAGTCCACCAGGAGGCGCCAACACAAAAGTCAGACTTCACATGAGATTTGGACCATCTTGTGGGAGAAAAGCAGATTACTTCCTACTTGCGAGCGCCCCCTYTGGTGGGGAAACGGTTTTTCAGGGCTACAAACTTTTTCAGAACACCGGTAGACGGCAGCCATTACAGATGAACATGTGTTTGTTGTTGTTCAAGGAGCGGCCCGGTTACACGCTAAAGTCATTAGTTCGTAATCATTACTAAGGTGCAGGACTGCCTTTCCCCCCCCTTTTTTTCACATCATGTCGTCTGCCTGGATCTGTTATTATCTCGCTCTGAAGCACGGAGGAGTGTCAGAGATAAGCTCGTTTCAACTGCTTTTTACGACGCGGTGTCATTTCCGGACTGAATGAAGCGGATATTTCAGTAAAAATACATAAGCAAAAATATTTATCCGAGTATAATACTATCCCCCAACTTTATGGATGATTTTATGGGTTAAATTTTACGTATTATACTTGAATAAATACGGTAAAAAATGCGATCCTGTTAGAAAGTGGTCGCTGAAAACTCTTGCGCTGTCCGCTTCCACACCTCCTGTTTTTAGCCGTAGATTGTTGTTCCACTCTTGTCGTCCTTTTTTTTGGACACACTACTTTCAGAACGTGAAAAAAACTTTTATATTTCTCCCGGTTACAGTGGCTGCAACAACCACACGACACAGWATTCAGCCATTTTGATGACGAGGCTGCATTTACTGTGAATTTTGTGACGTCGACACTACATCATCTGCAACCCAGCAATACTGATGTGTTGTTTTGTTCTCAGCATCTTTATCTGCTAAGAAATACAGAGCCTTGTTTTCAGTTGCACAAATCTTCTCTTCTGACACGTGTTTATTCACATTTTATAAACATTCACCTCTTCAAAACTCACCTCAGAACAATACAACGTGTCAGTCTTTGTAAATACCTCCACATTGTTTCTGTCTGAGTGTAATCAGAACCCTCTCTGTTTATCATTTATCACTGCAGAACCCTGCTTTGTTCATGTTCTGCCCCGAGATAAGAGGCGAGCAGACGAGACCTTGAAATGCTGCTTGGACAGCTGTTCTCCAGGTGTCGGAGCGTGTGTGGCTCAACTTGGCCGTCCTCCAACAACTGGCAAGACTTCTAACAAAAAAAAAACTCATTCCTGTTAAAGCGGGGCACAAAACCGCGCAGCACACCGAGAAGGTGTTCTTAAACATGAGTCAGCGAAAACGATGGGGAGGAGAGGGGAAACGATACATCATTGAAAAGCAGAACTTTTTATACAAACCGAGTGAGAAAATCAGCTTGTTCTTTTAAAGGCAGACTGAAGCAAGTCGYCCCTGAATGGAGGATCTGATTACCCCACCCACCCCCAACTGCTGGCACCACCACCGTGAATCTGCCGTTTCATAAACACAGCTCCACTGTAGCAGCCAGAGAGCCGCGAGACAAGTTCCAAATGCAAGTTTCAACAGCTAGCGCGGTGCACAAGCACACCTTTTTCCCCTCCTGCTGGAGAGGAGAGGCCTGAAACAACAAACTACCTGGCCAGAGGGGCTTGGGGGGAGTTTTGTGGGGGGAATCAGGGAGGGGGAGTGAGTCATCCTGCAAACAGAGAAAGCCTAGTTGGGACTCAGGTACTTTGTGCTGCACTGTTTCACCACCAATTTGTGGGCTTAACATAAATTACCTGTAATTATTTTAAGCCATATTTATTTACACGCAGCAGTATTAATGGAATTATTATTTAAGTTGGTCTAGAGTTTATAATTGTTGGTTGGCATCTTCCAAATTATTTGAATTAATTGAGGTAAGACATCAAAATGTGGAAAGTTTGGACAAAAAATAATATTTTTTTGTGCTAAAGTTAACCATTTAAAACCTCCCTAATGTTTCACCTTTTCTTGTAATTTCTAGTGTTCGTTATTTCAATAATTTGTTCCCAGATTCTCACGTTTATAGTTTTTCACCCAGATTAGCCCAGATTATTGGTTTGGTTTAAACGTGTCAAAATTTATGACAACTGAAACTTACGATCCCCAAAATTTCATGCGGTTCATAAATAACCCAACTGAATGATTTAAACGTGAAAAGGAAGGATTTAAAAGCGTCACGTCTACTTTTGAACCCATTCTCATTCCCGACTCGTCACTAGGGGTGTAAGAAAATATCGATACACTGAAATATCGCGATATTTCATTTCCCGATACTGTATCGATATTCTAAAGCCCTGTATCG